TATATATATGTGTGTGTGTGTGTATATATATGTGTGTGTGTGTATATATATGTGTGTGTGTGTGTGTGTGTATATATATATGTGTGTGTGTATATATATGTGTGTGTGTGTATATATATATATATATGTGTGTGTGTGTATATATATATATATATGTGTGTGTGTGTGTATATATATATTATATATGTGTGTGTGTGTGTTGTATATATATATGTGTGTGTGTTTATATATATAAAATGTGTATGTGTGTGTATATTATATATATATATATTTTTTTATCTATATATATATATAGATATATATTATATATATGTGATTTTGCATTGCTAGGTAGGGGGGCGTGCGCACAGCCATTGGCGGCTACAGCTGTCGATCACAAGGTCCTGCCCAGAGATACCCGCCGGCACCCGGGGATCGCCGAGGAACGCTGACAGGTTAGAGGTCTGTATGTAAACAATACAGATTTCTCCCTTGTCAGCACCTGCATGCTGCTTTGTAATTTTTCCTTTTTTTTTCTTATCCTTTTTTTTTATCCTTTCCACCCACTGCATTTTTTTTTTTTTTCCTGCCCGGCATTCTGCTTTAAATTCTATTGTTTTTAGTTTTTTTTTTTTTTTTGTATTGTTTTATTGTAATATTATTATTTTATTTCATTTTTATGTTTTCTTTTAAGTGGCAGTAATATTTATTGTCTTTGTTCTTATATTATTTATTTTGTGTATTTTTTTTTTTTGCTTTATTACATTCTTTTTGTTATTCCTATTATTACGGTTAGTTTTTTTTTTTTTTTTTTTTTCTTTTTCTTATTTTTTTTTTTTATCCTTTCCACCCACTGCATAGTTTTTTTTTTTTTCTGCCCGGCATTCTGCTTTAAATTCTTTTGTTTTTAGTTTTTATTTTATTTTGTAATATTGTTATTTTATTTTTTATTTTATGTTGTTTTTATGTTTTCTTTTTTTTGGCAGTAAGATTTATTGTCTTTGTTCTTATATTATTTGATTTTGTGTATTTTTTTTGTTTTTTTGCCCGGTATTCTGCTTTAAATTCTATTGTTTTTTTTTTTTTTTTTTTTTGTGTTATTGTTATTGTAATATTATTATTTTATGTCGTGTTTATTTTTTCTTTTAAGTGGCAGTAATATTTATTGTTTTTGTTCTTATATTATTTGATTTTTGTGTATTTTTTTTGTTTTTTTATTACATTCTGTTTGTTATTCCTATTATTGCGGTTAGTTATTTTTGTTAAATTTTTTTTTCTTTTTCTTATTTTTTTTTTTTTATCCTTTTTTTTTTTTTTAGTTTTTTTTTTTTTTTTTTTTTTTTTTTTTTTTTTTTTTTTTTTTTTTTTTATTTTTTTTTTTGTTTTTTTTTTGTTATTGTAATATTATTATTTTATGTCATTTTTTATTTTTTCTTTTAAGTGGCAGTAATATTTTATTGTCTTTGTTCTTATATTATTTGATCGCTGTGTATTTTTTTTGTGAAAAAATTCCTGCCCGGTATTCTGCTTTAAATTTATTGTTTTTAGTTTTTATATTATTTTGCATTGTTGTTATTGTAATATTATTATTTTATGGTTGGTTATTTTTGTTAAATTTTCCTTTCTTTTTCTTATCCTTTTTTTTTTATCCTTTCCACCCACTGCATAGTAAAAAAAATGTTCTGCCCAGCATTCTGCTTTAAATTCTATTGTTTTTAGTTTTTATTTTATTTTGTAGTGTTGTTATTGTAATATTATTATTTTATGTCATTTTTATGTTTTTTTTTTAAGTGGCAGTAATATTTATTGTCTTTGTTCTTATATTATTTGATCGCTGTGTATTTTTTTGTGCTTTATTACATTCTATTTGTTATTCCTATTATTGCAGTTGGTTATTTTTGTTAAATTTTCCTTTCTTTTTCTTATCCTTTTTTTTTTATCCTTTCCACCCACTGCATAGTACAAAAATTTTTTCTGCCCGGCATTCTGCTTTAAATTCTATTGTTTTTATTTTATTTTGTATTATTGTTATTGCAATATTATTATTTTATGTCATTTTTATGTTTTCTTTTAAGTGGTAGTAATATTTAATGTCCTTGTTCTTATATTATTTGATCGCTGTGTATTTTTTATTACTTTTTCTTATCCTTCTTTTTTATCCTTTTCACCCCTGCTGGTGACAATGATAAATTACTTTGTCTCCCTAATTATTGTGATGTCTGTCGACAGAAATCTAAATGACTCAATATCAATGTGCCCTCTGGTGTTTTCTTTGGTTTCCAATCACTTCAGATTTATAGCAAGTGTCCTTCCAGGGTCTAAGGCCCTCATGTCAGCTGGGAGCCCCCCCCCAGAGACAGACTTTTCCCTGAGAAGGAGAATTGTGTATGAGGACGCTGTAACATCTTTAATATAAAGCCTCTTCACAAACATATCACAATGAACGACTTATAGAACTCACTAAGATGTCTACTGCTCACTGTGATCTCATTGCACGCTGTGAGCTTCCCACAGTTAACCGGAATGTCCCGAGATCCCCATACCACTGATGGGTCCCCATACCACTGATGGGATCTGTCTCCATACAGAATTCTTTCCTCCTCCAAAGACCAACCACCCCCAAGGCCGCCGTGACAATCCAAACCAAAGCATGAAGGGGAGGGAGGGTGGGAAGCCTCTTCTTCCTCCAACTTTCCTACTGGACTTCCTGAGGTTGGACAATACTTTTCCTCCCTGTGAACCCTCCCCAATACCCCATCCAATAGGGTAAGCCATAATCCCAAAACTTCCTACCCATCTTTTAACCCTCTGTTGTCCCTCTAGTCATGTTGTCCCTACGCTTCATTTTTATTTTTGCTCCTGGCCTACCTTTTTTGGCAAGTGCTCGTCAAAGTTTCGGGGATGAATCTTTTTGGTTCTACCACGTCTGTGCCCCGGTATACAATGCCAGCTCATGAAAGACGTGGGTTGACTACTTTGGTGTTGAGGAACTCAAGCGGCCTACACAGAGCCCTGACCTCTTCCAAGTTTTGGGGATGGATCTTGTTGGTTCTACTACGACTGTGCCCCTGTGTACAATGCCAGCTCATTTAAGACGTGGGTTGACCAGTTTGGTGTTGAGGAACTTAAGCAGCCTACACAGAGCCCTGACCTCTTCCAAGTTTTGGGATGGATCTTGTTGGTTCTACCACGACAGTGCCCCGGTGTACAATGCCAGCTCATGAAAGACGTGGGTTGACCAGTTTGGTGTGGAGGAACTCAAGCGGCCTACACAGAGCCCTTACCTCTTCCAAGTTTTGGGGTTGGATCTTGGTTCTACCACGACTGTGCCCCTGTGTACAATGCCAGCTCATTCAAGACATGGGTTGACCAGTTTGGTGTGGAGGAACTTAAGCGGCCTACACAGAGCCCTGACCTCTTCCAAGTTTTGGGATGGATCTTGTTGGTTCTACCACGACTGTGCCCCTATGTACAATGCCAGCTCATTCAAACGTGGGTTGACCAGTTTGCTGTTGAGGAACTCAAGCGGCCTACACAGAGCCATGACCTCTTCCAAGTTTTGGGGATGGATCTTGTTGGTTCTACCACGACAGTGCCCCTATGTACAATGCCAGCGCATTCAAACGTGGGTTGACCAGGTTGCTGTTGAGGAACTCAAGCGGCCTACACAGAGCCCTTACCTCTTCCAAGTTTTGGAATGGATCTTGTTGGTTCCACCACGACAGTGCCCCTATGTACAATGCCAGCGCATTCAAACGTGGGTTGACCAGTTTGCTGTTGAGAAACTCAAGCGGCCTACACAGAGCCCTTACCTCTTCCAAGTTTTGGAATGGATCTTGTTGGTTCCACCACGACAGTGCCCCTATGTACAATGCCAGCGCATTCAAACGTGGGTTGACCAGTTTGCTGTTGAGGAACTCAAGCGGCCTACACAGAGCCCTGACCTCTGCCAAGTTTTGGGGATGGATCTTGTTGGTTCTACCACGACTGTGCCCCTGTGTACAATGCAAGCTCATTTAAGACGTGGGTTTACCAGTTTGGTGTTGAGGAACTTAAGCGGCCTACACAGAGCCCTGACCTCTTCCAGGTTTTGGGATGGATCTTGTTGGTTCTACCACGACAGTGCCCCGGTGTACAATGCCAGCTCATGAAAGACGTGGGTTGACCAGTTTGGTGTTGAGGAACTTAAGCGGCCTACACAGAGCCCTGACCTCAACCCTGCTGAACATATTTAGAACGAATTGCGAGCTAGGCCTTCTCCTCTACATCAGTACCTGACCTTACAAATGGGCACCAATCACCCCACAGACACTCACCAAAACATCCTCATCAAAAACTCACTCAAGCTCTGGATCCAAACGTTTCACAAAAACGAGATATCAGTGTTTGATACATGATCTTTTCTATTTCCCTGACCCAAAGAGAATAGGATTTCGTTCCCTGTTCTTCCTTCCCCTGACAAAGACACTTTGGAAATAGGTCGATTTTGCAAAGGCGTTCTGCTTTGGCAATTTGTCATCCTCCTTTCCTCCTTAGTTTGTTTCTCTCCACCCGAGACCATCATTTACCTCAATGTTCCAGATCCCGCTTGCTAGTGATATATTGTATATATATATATATGTTTTTTATCGGATGCTATCCCATGATGCTTTGCTGCAGCATAAAACAACTCTCGGCAGATTGAATAACTTTTCCTTTTTTTTCCCTTTAACATCACAAAAGGAAGAATAACAACTAGCATAAGGCCTCAGGTACACAGGACAATTCTGAAGGATGGAAACTAACTGCTGGAAAACGTCTGTTTAGCCGCGTTTGCATAATGCGTTTATGCGCATTTGCGTTTAGAAGCGTCTTTTAAAGATAAGCACAGGAGAACCTCCCAAATGCCCAGAATGCACTGAAAAGTGGTAAATTATTAACTATTTCAATAAAGAACATCAAACAGCGCAAATAAATATTCACAAACAATTAATATGATAAATAAATGATAAAGACAATTAAAAAGTACCAGTCAGTTCTGCCTATCAGTGCTCATCAGTGCTGCACAACAGTGCCCGTCAGTGTTGCCTCTCAGTGCCAGTCAGTTCTGCCTATCAGTGCCGCCTATCAGTGTCTGTCAGTGCCGCCTATCAGTGCCAGTCAGTTCTGCCTATCAGTGCCCATCAGTGTCGCCTAAGAGTGCCTATCAGTGCCTGTCAGTGGCGCTTATCAATGCCAGTCAGTTCTGCCTATCAATGCCCATCAGTGCCGCCTATCAGTGCCTGTCAGCGCCACCTAACAGGTCCAGTCAGTGCTACCTAACAGTTCCAATCAGTGCCGCCTATCAGTGCCATATATGAGTGCTGCCTTTCAGTTTCAGTGCCCGTCAATGTGATGCCAGTGCTTCCTCAATGCCCATCAATACCACCTACCAGTGCCTCCTCATCAGTGCCCATCAGTACCACCTACCAGTGCCTCCTCATCAGTGCCTGTCAGTGCCGCCTATCAATGCCAGTCAGTTCTGCCTAACAATGCTCATCAGTGCTGCCTATCAGTGCCTGTCAGCGCTGCCTAACAGTTCTAGTCAGTGCTGCCTAACAGGTCCAGTCAGTGCCGCCTATCAGTGCCATATATGAGTGCCCATCAGTGATGCCTGTCAATGCCCATCAGTGCCACCTACCAGTGCCTCCTCATCAGTGCCGCCTATCAGTGCCCATCACTGCAGCCTCATTAACGCACATCAGTGAAGGAGAAAAATTACCTTTTTACAAAATTTTATAACAGAAACTAAAAAAAAAACATTTTTTTTTTTCAAAATATTTAGTCTTTTTTAGTTTGTTGAGCAAATAATAAAAAAAAATAAAAATACCACCAAAAGAAAGCTCTGTCTAAAAAAATTTATACAAATTTGAGTTTGAGCGCAGTATCGCATGACCGCGCAATTGTCATTCAAAGTGCGACAGTGCCGAAAGCTTAAAATCGGCCCGGGCAGGAAGGGGGAGTAAAAGTGCCCCACAGGTTAGGGGTTCGATTCAACTGGCTATGAACATCCCACCCCAGGGGCGGACTCAGCATTTGGAAACTCGGTCAGTAGGGGGGCCCCATGAGATGCCCCTGGTACATTTTCCATAGGCTTTTTTGAGTTTGGGCAAGGACACAGGGGCCCCATGATCCCCTATTGCCCGGGGGCCCCCATGAGTTGTCAGTCCGCCCCTGCTCCACCCCCGAAGCACCCCAATAATCGATCACACTAACAGAATGACCCGAGGACATTTTGTTCTCTGGCCGTCGCCCGCGCGGCCGCCCACCTTCCCTGGCTTTGCCCGCGCTCCAGCGCTTGTCGGTGGACAGTTTCAATGGAAATGTGGCTCCTTGGAGGGTCGCGCGGTTCCTTCAGCCCAGGGGCGGACTGACCATTCTGGTACTCGGGCACTGTCCGAGGGCCCGGGGTCAGTAGGGGGCCCCGTGAGATGCCCCTGGTACCTTTCATAGGCTTTTTTTGAGTGCGGGTGAGGACACAGGGGCCCCATGATCCCCGATTGCTCGGGGTCCCCCATGAATTGTCAGTCCACCCCTGCTTCAGCCGCAGCGCTGCAGCGCGTTACAAGCCGCCCGCCTCCCCGGCAGGATTTTTCCGGCTCCCGCTGTCAGGCTACGTTGAGGAAGAAGACTGTAGACTTGACGTTGATGCATGGTGTCTCCTCTACGAGGCTCCCCTACGGACGCCGGCGACTCCTGTCAGCTGCTCTCAGTTTTAACAAGTCTTAGTCAAGGGTTGGAGCCGCGCGTTCTTACAAGACGTGCATGAATCCGCCGCCGAGCATTCCGCGACGTTAATTGGAGCAGACGGACTAGGGGAACATCTGGAGGTTTATGGGGGGGGAGGGGAGGGCGAGCGTATGAGACGCTTATCCTAGCGCAGTAATGGGTTTTATGACGGTTCAGCTGCTTTATTAACTGGATTCAGATGGAGGAACGTTAATGGTTCTTTATATTGCTGATTGGTTGTTGGAAATTCGCATTTTTTTTTTTTTACTTCATTTTTTAACTTTTTCCTCCAGTCCGCAGCGGGAAAAGACAAATATTCGGCCTATAACCGGCGGCTGTTTATGATTCTCTCATTGATCGACCCTGGCAGAGGCAGTAAGGAGGCTTTTCCTGCTGCGCACTTGTGTTCCTCGTCTCCCTCTGCCAGATCGAGAAGTAGGAGCTTTGTTTTACGCCGAATGTCGTTTTTAATTGAATGCTGGACACTTTGTGTTGTTCTGGCGAGCGGTCAGAAACGCGCAGGGGCTGGTGGCTGAGTTGCCGCGCGAGGAATGCGACCATCTGTGCGCCCTCATCTGCCAGGCTGGCGTGTTATATCGCCTCATCTTCATCATTTATAACTTAAAACGCGGTGAAACTGCGTTTTTGGACCTTTTTTGTCATTTAATTGAACGCTGGACACTTCACGTCGTTCTGGCGAGCGGTCAGAAACGCGCAGGGGCTGGTGGCTGAGTAGCCGCATAGGGAATGCGACCATCTGTGCGCCCTCATTTGCCAGGCTGGCGTGTTATATCGCCTCATCTTAATCATTTATAACTTAAAACGCGGCAAAACTGCGTTTTTGGACCTTTTTTGTCGTTTAATTGAACGCTGGACACTTCACGTCGTTCTGGCGAGCGGTCAGAAACGCGCAGGGGCTGGTGGCTGAGTAGCTGCATAGGGAATGCGACCATCTGTGCATCCTCATCTGCCAGGCTTGCGTATTATATCGCCTCATCTTAATCATTTATAACTTAAAACGCCGCAAAACTGCGTTTTTGGACCTTTTTCTGTCGTTTAATTGAATGCTGGACACTTCATGTGGTTCTGGTGAGCGGTCAGGAACGCGTAAGGGCTGGTGGCTGAGTAGCCGCACGGGGAATGCGACCATCTTTGCGCCTTATCGTCCAGGCTGGCGTGTTATATCGCCTCATCTTAATCATTTATAACTTAAAACGCAGTAAAACGCTGCAAACTGGCTTTTTTGGACCTTTTTTGTCGTTTAATTGAATGCTGGACACTTCGCGTGGTCCTGGAGAGTGATCAGGAACGCGCAAGGGCTGGTGGATGAGTATCCGCACAGGAAATGCGTTGCGTTAAAGAGTTTTTCAGCTTTTTTTAGTGTTTTTGCATTAACGGTTTCCCGCGTTTTTTTCCACGTTTAGTGGCTTTTTTCCCACGTTTTTCCACGTTTGCTAGCGTTTTTTTTTGGTAAAAAAAACATCCAAAAATGACAGTTTGCGGTGTTTTACTGCGTTTAGGTTATAAATGATTACGATGAGGTGATATAACATGTCAGCCTGGCAGATGAGGGCGCACAGATGGAATGCTGGACACTTCGTGTCATTCTGGCGAGCGGTCAGGAACGCGCAGGGGCTGGTGGCTGAGTATCTGTGCAGGGAATACGGCCATCTGTGCGCCCTCATCTGCTGGCGTGTTATATTGCCTCATATTAATCATTTGTAACTTAAAACGCGGTAAAACGCCGCAAACTGGCTTTTTTGGACCTTCTTTTGTCATTTAATTGAATGCTGGAACCTTCGCGTCATCCTGGTGAGCAGTCAAAAACGCACAGGGGCTGGTGGCTGAGTAGCCGCATAGGGAATGCGACCATCTGTGCGCCCTCATCTGCCAGGCTGGCGTGTTATATCGCCTCATCTTAATCATTTATAACTTAAAACGCGGTAAAACTGCATTTTTGGACCTTTTTTGTCGTTTAATTGAACGCTGGACACTTCAGGTCGTTCTGGCGAGCGGTCAGAAACACGCAGGGGCTGGTGGGGCTGAGTTGCGACCAGTGCGCCCTCATCTGCCAGGCGCTATATCGCCTCATCCTAATCATTTATAACTTAAAACGGAATGGCGTTTTTGGACCTTCCATCTGTCGCGTCATCCCCTCATCTGCCGGGGAATGGATCTGTGCGCCCTCATCTGCCAGGATGGCGTGTTATATCACCTCATCTTAATCATTTATAACTTAAAACGCGGTAAAACGCAGCAAACTGGCATTTTGGACCTTTTTTTTGTCGTTTAATTGAATGCTGGACACTTTGCATTGTTCTGATGAGCGGTCAGGAACACGCAGGGGCTGGTGGCTGAGTAGCCGCGCAGGGAATGCGGCCATCTTTGCGCTGTGTTCTGCCAGGCCGGCTTGTTATATCGTCTTATCTTAATCATTTATAACTTAAAGCGCCACAAACCAGTGTTTTTGGATTTTTTTTTTACCAAAAAAAGAAATGCTAGCAAACGTGGGAAAAACGTGGCAAAACGCCGCTAAATGCGGAAAAATGTGGGAAACCGCTAATGCAAAAACGCTAAAAAAAGCTGAAAACACTTTGATAAGGCTGGTAATGTTCGCTGTGTAAAGTCATGTTAAAAGTTTTTCAGCTTTTTTTAGCGTTTTTTTGCCTTAGCGTTGAATGGCGTTTTGCCGCATTTAGCTGCGTTTTCCCACGTTTTTCCTCATTTGCTATCTTTTTTTTACAAAAAAAAAAATATTTTTATTGGCCAAAAATTTCGTTTTACCGCTTTTTAGTCCTCATACCCACTTGACGTTTTTACAGCGGCTATTTTTGTCTTTTGACGTTTTTTTCTACAGCCAGTAAACCCCCCAGAATGTCATCCTAGGTGTCCCATACAAACATAGACTGGAATCAACGTTTTGTTGCAGGGACGTTTTTTGGCTGGGAAAAAAAAAACCCAAAACTAGTGGGTTTCTAGAGGAGTTTTTTTAGTTGTAACACTGAAAAACGTGGTAAAACGCTGCAAACCGGCATTTTGGGACTTTAATTTTGTAAAGAAAACACAAAAAAAATGCAAACACGGATAAACGCAAAACGCCGCTAAACGCTAATGCAAAAGCACTAAAAAAAGCTGGAGCATTTTTTAGCTGTAAAAAAGCTCTAAAGCTGAAAAACACAGTAAAACGCAGTAAAATGCCGCAAACAAGCGTTTTTGGACTTTTTTTACCCAAAAAAATTATATTGGTTAAAAAAAAATGCTAAAAATCGCAAATGCAGCAAAATGCCGCTAAACACTAATGCAAACATGCTAAAAAAAAAGCTCAAAACGTGGTAAAACACCGCAAACCGCAAAATTATTATTTTTTTTAAAAAAATGCTAAAAATCGCAAATGCGGCAAAAAAAAGCTGAAAAACTTGCGTTTTTAACGTGACTTTACACAGTGAACGTTACCGGCATTATCAAAGCGTCCCGTGTGCATGGAGGTTCCTCGTCTCCCTCTGCCAGATCTAGAAGAAGGAGCTTTGTTTTACGCCGAATGTCATTTAATTGAATGCTGGACACTTCGCGTCGTTCTGGCGAGCGGTCAGGAACGCGTAGGGGCTGGTGGTTGAGTAGCCGCGCGGGGAATGCGACCATCTGTGCGCCTTCATCTGCCAGGCCGGCGTGTTATATTGCCTCATCTTAATCA